CACACACCACACATACACAATGATATTTGATATATTACATTTTGTAGAAAACTTGGTAAAAATTTATTACCACTTAATTTTTTTTTTTTTTGTTCTAAATTTAATGCTATATATGTGACTGAAAAATTTTTTAATAAGGATTTTTCTTATTCTTTAATATCTTTTTTAAAGTTTCAAACAGTTACCTCAAACACATCCTAATTAACGACAAACGAGAAAAAAGAGATAGACGATTAAAGCAGGATTATATTTGTCGTTGAAGTTGAATTTGAAAACAATTTTTGAAGTATGACGTTTAATACCCCATCGTTATCAGCGAATTTTCATGACCTTTCCTACGACTCGTTCCACAAAATTGTAAAATTACCTAAGCGACTGTGCGGATGGAGAAATAGAATGTTAGGAAATTGCGCGTTTATGCAAACATCACGAGAATTTACGCATGGATTTACATTTTCTTTTGAAAATATCGTTATTTTGACAGTTATTCAAGTTTTGACAGTTTTTAATGTTGTATGATGCAAATCAATGTTTACGTTACGCAGACTGAGTTTTTTCTTCATAAAATTATCGAGTATGCCTTCACTGATTAATCAAGAGATTATACGAGGTTGAGTAAAACAATATTCTCTGCACGACGTGTTTTTTCTCAGATTAGAAAGATTGTTTATGTTAATTTTATCTTCAATGTCGTAACTATGTTAATAACAGTCATATAAAAATGTTTATTTCCGATTATATGTAATGTATGTGTATGTATAATGTATGATACTAAAAATAACATGGCAAGCTGCGTTGATTACATCTTATTAAACACATTAATGTTTATTATATTATGATAATACATATTTATATATATATTTCTGGTTTTACAGAAATAACATTAAACACAGATGCGAAACAATATGTTTTATAATTATTTTCTTTTCCTGTTGATATTTTTTCCCCAATTATTTCTTCAACATTAAAAAAAATCTTTTATCATATTTTTTTAATATCTAGTTCAATGCTTGATTGACATTGGGTATTAATTATTAATAGACAATTTGGTAAGAGAAGTCATAGTTTAAGAAATCTATTTAAAATCTACTTTCCAACTGTGATTGATGGACAATGTAAGGTCAACTGGTTATTATGTATTACAAACTGAAAAAATATTTCTGATTGAGACGGAACAAAAAAGATTTATTATTTATACTTATATATTTGTTACTTTACGTTGGTTCTTTGTATGATTGGAGCACATTCTTTTATTTCTTCTTACGATACGACTGCAACTAGGATTATGTTGTATCACTGATATAGTCGTGTAGCCATTACGGGCACTAGTAAAAGAAGACTAAAAAGGCTCTAATGTTCTATGTGGCATCTCTCATTAGAATTTTTATATTTTTATTATAAAAGTATTTATATAGAGTAGTTTTTTTTATTTTTTTATTGTACACACACAAGAGTATTCATGAGTATACAATAAAGGATACAACAAAGCGTGTCGTTTGCATTCGTTCGATATATTTTATCGGCGTGCAAATGCAGAAAAATATACATTTAAGCGATCTTTGAATTTTTTAAATTTGCACCAAAGATAATATACAAATGCACAAATATTCGATCGTCAAGAACACAAATATTTGTTGATTCCGCTGCTAACAATAAATGATCCGCCGACGATCGAATGCGATTACTTGGCGACCAAATTTTTCTAAATTTTTTTTGCACGTTCGCGAAACTTTGTATCTCTCGTCGAAAAATCCGTGACACGCATAAGATATACAAAATAACAAAAGCATTTACACGACGCGACTATAAATTTCGATATATACATAAATATGTATATGTACATAGGTACAGACATAAGAAATAGAGGTGCGTATATAAAATTAAGAAAACAAATAAAATAATAGAAAAAGAAGACATGTGTTTCATATCTTTTAATATAACACGATATAATAACGGAAAAAAATTGCGCACTTAAAATCTGAAATAAGGTCTAATATACCGAAAGGAGGGGGGGGGCAGTCGCGAAACTGAAGAAAAAAAAAATAAAAACGTGATGTAATGAAACGTCGCGGATATTAAATGGTATTTTTAGCTCATCAAGGATCAATCTGTTTGTCGTATATATATGTTTTAGCCTCGCTATACGATTTCATTGAAATCACTTCTTAATTCGGCACTCTTGCCTTGAGAGACTTTTCAGATTTAAACTCAGAGACTCGTATTATATGGAATGTTTTTTTTTTACATTTAATTTAATTTTATTTTAACAAATCGACACACACGCATATTGATGTTATGATATTGTAAATGTCTTCCAAATAAATTTCGTAATGTCTGTTTTTGAATAAAGATTTGCAGAATCTTTTTCGAATGGAATCTTCCGCGAATTAATGTTGTCAAGCGAGCCATTTCTCTTCTCACTTTCCTGACAAAGTTAAATATATAAAATTTACAAGTCAAAGATTAGTATTACAATCAAAAGAAGTAATTTGTATTTTATATATTAATGAAAAATATTTGTACAATTTTATCTTTATGGGGTATTATCCTTTATTAATTTAAATTATATAAATCACGGAAATAAATGGGAAAGTCGAAAACACACAATTTAAGTATATTCTGCTGCATCTTTTTGGCATTCGACTCGCGTGCTTTATTTGCATTATTTTCGAATAACAGCGGCATGCGGCGCAGTTTCGGTCGATCTGTTTAACTGTGTTTTGCAGGATATTTTCATCGACGTGACCAACCCTCGATCGACCGCGGACTGACCCGCGGACTTGAGCCGGGCTGAAATCTGTGTCGAGTCATAAACGGGCGAGAGAAAGAGGCTGCGTGTGTGCGGTTAAGAGTGGCGTTCGCGTGCGCCTAATCGCGAATTGCATCGGTAACGAGGGTTCGCGGTCATTTAGCGGTGACCACCGGTGCTGGTCGTTTATCGATCGCCACCTCCGTCCACCTCTTGATATTTCGAGGGCCTTCTGGACGACCTTCCGACTCGCAGGTCCGAAACGTGTGCGTGACGTCAATCGCAAAAATGACTACATCTCGCCTCTTACCTGTGTACGTTAATGTATTCGCGTCGACGTTATTTCGTCTTATCGTTTCCCTGAAAGATACCAAAGACCGTCATAAAGATCTTTAATTTTTATGAGAATTTATCACACTAGCGCGCGCGATTTTAACATCATTTTATTGGCTTGAATCGTTTTTGACGAGAATTAATAAAAATCGACTGGTCTTCTTCTGTCTAAATTAAGCTCGTCGCTAATAAAGTGTCTATAGTCGAAGCAGTTCCATGTTTTGCATCGAATAGAATTTTAATATCGTAAATACTAAAATAAATTTCAAATTGATTATTACTCGCTTCAGCTATTTTTATTTCTATTTATAGAAATGATTATTAAGAAAGATATTTCTCTCTCTGTTTTAAGAGATAATAATTTAAGAATATATTATTTATACAATATATTATTTGTCATTAATGTAGATGTAATTTACGATGTAGTTCTTAAGGTAACAATATCCTTTATGTCATTGAATTTAATAGTACAGAATACATGGTATAATTGATCGATAAGGTCGGATCCCGCCCTATCTATGTTATGTAAACTATGTTATACAATTAGTGTGAGCTATATATTCGTTTCTTTATTATTCGGGTATGCCTGAATTGACATGAATTCGTGATATCGCTGCGATGCAATTAACGACATATCATTTCTGTGTACTTTTCAAATATACGGTTGATTGATGATAAAAAAAAACTTTCAAGATAATATTCGAGTGTCATGTTAATAAATCACATAAATCACCGCGATATCAACGTAGATAATTTATGAGCCAATATTTTGTTACGATAGGTATGTGTGATTCACTTAAAGATGAAAAAAAAAATTATTGACTACATCTGTGACTATATCTCGTCTATTTTTAAATACATTATTAACTTTTATTGATTCCACGATACATTATCTAGAATACACTGTCAGCGTTTATTTTTATAAAAGGAAAAGAGAAGCAAGAAAACGATTATGTACGTAAAAAAAAATGTTTACTTAGTAGTATATCTATTCGAGAGACGATGCACGCGAATTTCTAAGCGATGCAATAATACACTGACAGAAAACAAAACTACCCGAACGCGGGGGAACTTTTGTGTTTTGCGCAACTGCATTACATGGTACTCCATCTCTTCTCATTTCGCCCTCTTTATCCGGCGATAACGGGATCAACCCAACGGTACTGATCTGTTATCATCGTCATTACCGCGCGATTTACGGGGCGTGTCTGACGTCAATTGTGATTTAGACTCCGTTGGAATAATTACATTAAGTACACGCGTAAAGCTTGCGGCGTGTAATTCACCGTGTTTGATTCTCTTCGCAATCGACTTATTGGATTTCTCTCTTCTTAGGGAGAGAGGGGGAGGATTGATGTGTGTTTTTCTCGCTTCTGCCAATTTTAAAGGAGACGACGCGATGGTTTCGGTATCATACCGGTATAAAGAATTTATTCTTCGCCAGTTATATTCTGTCTTGTTGATTGATTAGACCGATAAACTTACGATCGCAGACGACGATAAGACCTTTTCCGTATTAAAGCACCGCAACACGCGATAAAATTGCACTCGACCTAGTTTTACTGCGGATTGACGTGACCTCGGATTGACGTCAGGTTGCAGATCGCGATCGGAAATCGAGAAGCGTACAACGGACGTGCGTTTCTCGTATTTGTCAATTTTTTTATCACATGCAATAAAATTTGTCGCATCGAAATTAATCGTTCCCTCTTTGCATCTTCTTTTTAGAAACAACTATAAGTTAAATTAAAAAAAAAAATAAAAATTTAAAACTATATGAGGTTTATAAATTGGACATAAAAATATTCGCATTTTTTTAAAATTAAAAGTCGAGAATTTTCGGTTTTATCAAGTATAAATATTAATGTGGCACTCGTCCATATATTATAATATTTATATATCTTTTTCTTGCTTCCAGGATATGCGAGAGGCAAAGGGATGCTGAGAGGCGAAACGACAACAGGGGCGAGGATGACGACGAGGATGAGAATCCTCTCGGGAAGTGGCCGCACGCTCTTAGTTCGGCCCTCGCGTGTCTCGGCTGTACCTTGGGACTTTTTAATATCAGTAGATTCGCCATTCTTAGTATACAGTTTGGAGGTGAGTGTGTATATATATATATATATATGTGTGTATATATGTGTCGATCATAAAGCTGTCATAGGGGTTCCAATAATGTTCTATTGAATTTTTTTTCGCGGTATACTATAACGAACGGTTGTGCCGGGTATGTAAGACGGAACAAAGAAAACTATGACGTATATAAGATGCGCGCATAAATTTTCTAGGGTCGCTCAGGAAAACTGAGACTGGTCTTATTTCGAGGATCGGATCGTATTTCGGCGACTTTCAGCACGCGAAACCGATATCTACATTTATTCATAATTAGCGAAACTTGTGTGTAAAAATACCGGAAATTGAAACTTGCAAAATGTTATAGCCTTTAATCCCACAAAATTGTGTCGATTCCTATTGCGAATGCGACACATACAAAAATTGCGAGGCAAATTCTTCCACAGTTAATGGCAATAGTTAAGTTATCTTTGCCATATAATAATTATATTATATTGCTTGTTGATAATAATAATTTGTTACGTGTGACGTGAACGACTTCCGATAAAGCCAATAATTAGTTTCGAGGCTAATTGCCAAGGTAATAATTAATTTCGCAAAGAGACGCTCGATTATCTACATGGAATAATATGTTTACAATTACGAGCACTTTTCTCGTTATACAGGGTGAGTTTTTTAACTTGAAACTGTAAAATATCTCGGAAAGTAAGCTTTATCGAAAAAAATGTTTCAAACAAAAGTTGTAGGGTTCGGAGGGGGCCACATGATAAAAATATGGATTTGACCTTGAGTGACCTTTTCAAGGTGAGATCAATGTGATCGACGTTTTCTTAAATGGAACCCCCCTTTTTTTATTACATATTCTTGTAGCTTATCTCGAGAGCTTTTCAAAACACTATAATAAAGTATTTTTTCATTAAGTACTTTTTGAGTTATTTTATATCTTAATCTAACATATTTTGATATAAAAAATAAAATATCTCGTAAAATATTCAGTTTTTGATAATCTTACCGTAATACTTTTATGAGCTCTCGAGATAAGCTACAAGAATATGCAATAAAAAATGGGGAGTTCCATTCAAGAAAACGTCGATCACATTGACCTCACCTTGAGAAGGTCACTCTTGGTCAAATCCATATTTTTATCATGTGGCCCCCTCCAAACCCTACAACTTTTGTTTGAAACATTTTTTTCGATAAAGCTTACTTTCCGAGATATTTTACAGTTTCAAGTTAAAAAACTCACCCTGTATAAGAGAGAACTTACATTTTTTCTTTGTTTACAACGTCTTCTCCCTTACAGCAAACTTCATTGTACAGTTCCTGATTTTATCGTTTATACTGGGCATCCCATTACTGACGTTACAAGTATGTCTCGGGCAAAGACTGGCGGCCGGTTCTGTGGATATGTGGAGAATTTCGCCGCTTTTTCAAGGTGTCGGAATAGCCCTGCTCACCGCACAGGCTTTCATCGGTATCTACAGCATAGTCGGTGTATCGTGGATGTTCGTTTACTTCAGGTACATTCCAATGCTCACTTTGGAATATATCTCGTGTAATAATTAATTATAAATTATATAATAATAGCGATTGGATAGAATTAAAGTATGAAAGAAAAAAATGTGGAAAAATAATTGATTCGTAGAAATTATTTAAGTTCTAATCACACGACGACTAGGACAATTAATAGAATAAAAGTGTTAACCGGTCAAAAATTTTTGATGAAAAAGCCAGTTCGCATATTCGATAAAAGTTTGCATATGTATGTAATGATATTTGTATAGAATTTTGTCCGTGTACGATGTTTTGCATTTTTTTCTCGATACCTCTTTCGAGCCTCTATTTCCATCACTTATATGCGTATCGGATATTAATATCACGCTATGTTGATCAAGTAGGACGAAATGCATCGTACATTGATTGCAGAGATTCGTTCATAACGAAGCAGGACAAGTATCGATGGGCGGAGCCGTTTCTTCTCTATCGAGACGACAGTCGTCCCACGCACAATGCTACCACTTCGTACAAATTATACGAGACCGTTCCGGATTACTTCAGCGGCGCCGTATTGCAAAGACACCACTTGAACGAGGCCGATCCCGGTGTCGTCACGTTAAAGTTTCAAGTGGCCTTCAATTTAGCCGTCGTGTGGATGATTGTATTTGTTTCGCTTAGTAAAGGTGAATATTAAGACAAAAAAAGTTTGGAGGTTGCACAAAAATTTCTTATTGACAATCTTGACTGCGGGCAATAATTTGTTAATTTTTTATGACAAAATTTTACCGGTCCTCTTGTATAAGAATCATCATTGTTAAAAGATTTAACTAAAAAATAATTTTAAACTGTTTTTATACATACATGCATACAGGTTGCGTTAACTTAAATTTATGACCTAAATTATCTCTGCGATTATTGAAAGATGTTTTCAACAAAAGTTTTAAAGTTTCAGGAAGAACATATAATATGCGTGTAATAAATTTTTTATAGCATGTATTTTTTGATATTTTAAAATTATTTTTAACTGCTCGTATAACACAGATAATTTAAGTCATAATTAAGTATTCTGTATGTGTATATTTATTTAGCGAGCGAATTCTTATATTCACATATAATATGCAGAAAAAGAAAAATCTGTCATTATCAAATTTTGCAACAATCATGTGCAAAACATTTTATTACTTCTATTTTCATTTAGGGCTGAGATCTTACGGAAAGGTTGTATACGTTTTCACGCTGGTGCCCGTGTTCGGTACATTAGTCCTTTGCACGAAACTGCTAGGACTTACTCCGCCGGGCTCGATAAGCCAACTTTTCCCTGCTACTGTCTGGAACGAATTCTTCATTAATGGAAAGTCATGGGTGGCTGCCTCAAACGAGGTCTTCCTCACGTGGGGTTTACTTGGTGCGGCTGCTATGCAGGTATCATTTCCATCATCGTCGATAATCGCACGACGATTATCTCTTTTTGCGAATATATATATAATTATTTTTTCTATTTGATTTTTTCTATTTAATTTTTTCTATTTCTCTCTTTTGCGGTTGTATTCTTTCTCTCTTGCGGATCATAGCTAATTCGTCGGAATATCCTGCCAATTTCAGATAGCGGCTCACAACAAGCACAAGCATCTCCTACAGCGAGATACGACTCTCGTGGTGATTCTGACATTTGTGGTGCTTCTACTTGGGGCTTTCTTAGCGAATACCTGCGTACAGATCCTCAGACTTCACGGTTACATCTACACTACTAGTTCCTTCGGTAAGTACAACCATTTTGTATCATATTACTTCGAGCAATCGGATCAATGCATTTTCATTCTCGGACGATTTTACAGAGAGAATATCAGGGTACACGTTTATAAGGCTCGCCAATAAACCGGCACCGTCGGGTCACAGCAGTACGCCGGAGAGATTCATGTCTCACGCATCCTTCCTTCTTGGTCAACGCGTAATACGACCCGGCGTAGACACGAGCATCGAGTCCGGATACCAGGTGTTACGTCTGGCCACTGAATTGGTGCCCGCAACATTGGCATTGTTGGGCACCGAACAAGTGTCACCATTCTGGGCGGTCCTGTTTTATTTTATCCTTATCTTATTTGGGATCGCGCAACAGGTATATTTATATATATATATAGTTTCTTATATTTCCTATAAGTGAGAAACTACGAATAAGAGTACATCTAAATATGTGTAATTTTATCATCTTACATATAATATAAAAAAATGCTTATATATGTGTTTTATTAATTGTTTTAGTTGGCAATATGGCATTGCGTAATAACCGGTATAATGGCAATCAATACGAAAATGATGAAGCTCTGGGAGACCACCATTACGTTTTTTAGCTGCGCTTGTGCCTACATACTCGGATTGCCTATGGCTACAGAGGTATGTCAAAATTCCTTAATAGTATGCGCCGATTTGAAAGTGATTAATTTCTGTTCGACAGATTTATCGTCTTATCTAAAGATATAATTGATGAAACTAAATACTTGTTACGTGTAAATATTTATATTATTAATTACGAGTATATACACATATATACACAGACATTATATTTTAATTTATACGCGACACACACAAGTATCTAATAACGTCGCAGCTCGGATATATCTGTAGTATTATCTCTACAGAGTACTGCTTTTATCAGATAGTACGCGCAATCTTTCGTTTGCTCAGAAAATTGTTATCAGCGCGAGTTTTAGTTTCGCTCCGCGCCCAGTATTACAAGCGCTTTCGTATTAAACGAAAGATGAGTAATAACGTTCACGCTATAGTGCATCGTAGCGTACCTTGCTACTTTTGCAATGAATTCTTGGAGGAAAAATTCTTGACGGAACACATCACGCAGTGCGCATCGGTCTTGGAAGAGTGTCCCAACAGATGCGGGGTTTACGTTTCCCGCAGAAATCTGGAGGAACATCGGAAGTCGTGCAACAAAAAAATGTCGAGGAGAAATAATCAAATAAAAGACATACAAGATTCGGTGTGGAAGGAAAAGGTGTTCTCGGTATTGACGTTACTGCGTCTAGCTATCGATCAAGGAGAAAAGGAGCGAATTCGCCTGCAGGACGACCTTTCTAGGAGCTTGAGCTTATTGTACTCTCAGCAGGAATCTCTCGCCGCGTTGCAATCGAATATCGCAGAAGCGGTCGAGGAGTATCGCGGTAACGACGCAATACTGAATATGAGGTTAAACGATCTGGAGATGATCACTGACAATATGCAGCATCGCACTAGTTCGAGCTTTTGGCAGATATCCGAACAGTTGAAGTTGTTCGAAGGAAGATTGATAGGCGAGCAAAACAAATGTGCATCAACCGATTGGTTTAAAGAATTAAAAGATTTGAAGACGTTTATCGCTAAAGAGAGTGTACGCGCGAGCGATATATGGCAGGAACACTCGCAGCGTGTCAACGATTTGAAACTGGAGTTGGAAATGAGATGTAAGGATTCGAAGGACCTGACGTTCAAACATGACACCTTGTCGAAAAAGCTTGATAGTTTAGCGAAAGAAATTCTTACATGTTCCGAAAGCGCGGCCAAACAAAAATTGGACCTGAAAGGTCTCAAGTTTCAAATGAAAGAGAATCTGAGATACATCGAGGAATTGATCGCGGAGAGTTGCAGACCGGCACCTTCGCTGTCGAGTTCTTCGTGTTCGTGCGCGGAAGGCTCCTCAACAAACGGCCGCATTATATGGCGAATCGACCGTTACAAGGAGAAGATGAGCGAAGCAAGGGAGACCGATTGCGCGTATTACAGCCCGGTATTCTACGACAAGGAATACGGCTACACCCTGAGAATGGAATTATTTCTGAACGGTAAAGGACAGTGGAAGGATCGCCACATTATCGGATGCTTGCGCGTGGAGAATGGCAAGTGGGATCCCCTGTTAGATTGGCCTTGCGTACTCCGAGCCATCGTAATTCTTCGAGATCAGGACAATCCCGCGAACGACGTTAGAAAGATTGTGAAGACCATAGGCCGCGATAGAGACGATTCTAACGAGCCTGATAAAGAATCCGGACTATACATGTTTGTTCCACATACCACGCTAAGTAGATACGCCGGTTACACCAAGAATAATGTTATATTCTTGGACGTGCAAGTGAAAGATATAAAAACGAGTGCTTCGACGACGTCGTTAATAGCTCAATAATTGTAATACTTTTAGCGATACTAATAATGATAAAGCTGATGATAACGATAAATGGTAATAATTGTAATGAGAATACTGATGATATATTTCTTATATCTATTATTATATCATTATTTATCAAGTAAATTTATATCTATATTTATATCTATATTTATATATATGAAAGAAAGAATTATTATCTCTAATTATAATTTTCTTAAAAAATAAACACTTTTACTCTTAAATATAAGAATTTTAATATCATGAAGAATTATAAATTATTCTTTATATTCTTATTACTGTGTGCTTACAGTTGGGTATCTACGTAGTGTACTATCTTGATTATACCGTCGGTGGGGCATGGTGGATAATCGTTCTATATCTAATGCAAGTCGGCGCCGTGTTCGCGGTCCGCGGACGGCCGCACACCGGCGAGGCGGTCGTCGCCGAATTATTCCCACCGACTGGGCGTTGCCTTAGATACTGGGCCGGACCTTTGTTATCCTTCATCTGGAACGTCGTTCTCCCTGTCACTTTGATGGTAAATTCAATTATTATTTAGAAATATCAGTTTACACGGCACGCTTGATTATTGGTATTATATACGCCGTTTTCAGGTTCTCAGCATCACGATATTTAAAAGCAGCGGTTTCCGGGAATTGTATTCTTATCGTCGCACGAGCAGAGATTACTGGGCCGTTTGGGCAAGGCAACTCGGGACGGCGATTCAGCTGATACCGATACTGATGATACCAGCAGTGGCCGTCATACAAACGTGTCGATATCTGAACAATGGGCCACCCGATATATTCGACGTAAGTATTTCTGCTTATATCAAAACTTACAAAACCTGCATTTTTCTGCCATTGATTGAGAAAATGGATAATAGGTCTACGCGGTATAAAAAAAAAAAAAATAGAGAATTATAAGTATCGTCTAAAAATCATCAGAGATTACTTACTCATTTTTCATGTAACTTATCTTTCTGTTTGTGCTGACGATAGAATGAACAAGTGGAAATAACAGTAAATCACTGTGAACAGTGTAACGGAGTAAGTTCTCATTAAATTCTGCATGAATGAACACGTGTTACACAGTGATATCATTCTACATTAAAACTGATACGCTTATTATATATTACTCCCTCAATATACAAATAATAATTCAGTTTTTCAACCCATTTCATCTTTTACAGAGAATTCAATTACTTTATCGGCCACCGTTGGAACCGGAGGATCCTCGTGACGCGCAGACTCAGATCGGGAATGACACTGGCACCGGCAGCTTGCATGGCAACGGAATCCTAGCCGCCGCGACCACGGAAATACCGTTTGAGGATCCGCCGCCCAAGTATACACCGCCGCCGAGTTACACTACGGCGACCGGCGCGAGGATCGCGAAAATGCTGCGCCAGAGTTTTCGACGAAGCGTACGGAGGATCGCGAACGTTCTGGGGGAAAGTAGCGCGCCGCGGCAGAGACCAGCATTGCAGCAACCACCGCCGCCACCGGATTACGCGACCGTACTGGTGGAAATGAACCAGAGCGGCGGCATGCCGATTTCGTACGATCAAGTCGCAATCCACGTGCCTTTGGAACCGCGACCGGATGTAACTAATACGGGAAGAAGCGGTCGACAACAGGGCGTGGACGGTCGAGCGTCGGACGAGCGTCAGAATGTTCGGCCGAACACAATCGACCGCGCCAGCCGGATCGGTATCGCGATCGAGAGATCGCGCGCATTGGAACGCACCCACTCGTCGACCCTCGACCGAGGTCGCCGATTGAACAATGTCGCGAACATCGCCACTCTGTCCGGCTCGAATTTGACGGCCACCGACGTGGCGAATTTGCTGCGCAGCAGCATACGTAGAGGTACCGCGAGAACGCAACAATCCTTGCGTAGGAGTTTCTGCCACGAGGAGCCGACGATGGCAGCGTCCGTCGAGAATCTAGTCGAGGCCGCCGCGCCTATCGGCCAAGATTCCTTAATCCTATCGAAAGACGCATCTCTAGTCCCCGGTGAACAGATCAACGAGCACTGTCGCCACAACGACAACGGCGATGGCAACGACAGCAACGATGAAAAAAAGACTGCGAGCGAAATGGAGAGTTCCGTTTCTGTGATATAGACTGAGAATATCGATTAAACGTCGATCGCACATTTTATTGATGCGTGATGCGCACGGCTAAGTTTCAATCCGCTGATTTTGGATCAACCATGATTCCGGTTAGCGATTCCCTGCCTCTTTCTATAAGTTATAACTTTCTACCTGTAATGTAGACGGAGAGAATATCTCGTTAATCAAAGTCGCGACGCTAATTCTCTCGGGTAGTCTCCAGTGTTTAAATTCCCCGAAATTAGAACATTGTTGTTCTCCTCCCGTGTGCCTAAACATGTGCGCGTTTGTTACTATTCCGAAGTACTTTTGTGTTCTTACGATATTTATTTCTTAATATATATATATATATATATTTTCGTTAAATATTTAGAGAAAATAAAGTTTTGCATGATACAGTTTGCTCCACACTTTTGAATATCTTGAACCTTCGCTACGAATCTTATATATTCAATGTGAAGATTTGTTACATGAGTTTAATCTCATTTAATTCCATGATGAATACAATTTTCTTATTAAAATTAATTTAAATAAATTCAGAATTAGATTAAATTACGATCCCAAACAGTCATGTAAATATGGGCCTGTGTCCTGTTAATGACTAATTGAAAGAAATTATTGTGCTGTTACTGTAATAAAGAAATGCAGTATATATAATCATGTTAGGAAGTGTATTGGTCTCCTATTTCCCTGCTTTATTGCCTAAAAATTATATTTAAAAAATGACTGAAAAATAAACTATAAACAATCAGAAAATAAGATTATTAAGAAATACATCATTAAATTTCTTAGTTTCTTAGCAGGAAGCTTAAAACTAGTTTTTTAAATTTCGAGAACGTTGTTTGAAGTTCGTTCGCACGTATTACGGCGTTATTCTCGGAAATCGCGCGGATAATATCCGCATGTATAATATACCTGTGTTGTTCGTCGTAATTAGTCCTGTAAATACATGCAGCATTTTAGCGAATTAAATTATGTTATACATTTAAAATCGATCATAGACTCGCTAAGCATCCCTTTCGTTAGCCTGATTGACGCTGATTTACTATAATACGAGTGTGTATAGTCCGTCCATGTTGTCAATGTATTTTTCCGTTGATAAATTCAACAATTGTCGCAAAAGCGCTTCGTAATTATTATATAATGAGCTAGATCGATTTCCATAATATTTTTATTCGAGTGAAAGCCATCGAGCATTACGTCGAAAAAAAATTATAATATTCGTATAAACACATGAAATCTTATATATGTACTCTATAGCATAAATATTCAGAGATATTCAATTTTTCCATAAAGTAAGTGTAACTGTTATACCTGATATTATGGACCATAATAAAGTTTTTATGTTCTTGTAAATGTCTTATCATTCTTTAATCATTTTTCCAAAGTCTTACTGTATAAAAAAAGAAAGAAAAGTGGTATTTGAGTGTGAAATATATATATATACACAATTTATAAAATTAATGTTAAATAAATTTCACACTCAAATGCATATATATATATATATATATGCATTTGTACGTGTATATGTCTATCTTCAACGTATATATTGTTATGGCTTGTCGCATTTCCTCGTCCCAAGATCGTAGGGCCTTATCATACTCCTTTTTTTTTGTGTCCATCGGAATATTTTTTATGGTCATTCGTCCTCAGATATTCTTAAAAGATAACTAAACCACTGAACCTTCCTTTCCTCTATCCTCTTAATTACTTTCTCTTTTGATTCTATTTTATACAAAAATATTATAATTATTATAAATATTATAATAATTATAATTATGGTATCTCTCTTAGTCTGACTCTTCCCCTTCGACCTATCCGGCATGGATGACCCTACTGGTAACTATGTTACTGCCGACATAACTCTCAGGTTCATTAGAGTACTCAAACCTCCTCACCCGGCAAATGCCTTCGTTAAGGTGGAGATACCATCGAGGAGGAAAATTTTTTTTAATTTTCTTTTAATACAGGATTTTCAAATTTATCCAAATAAAAGATATAATATACACAAAGAGAAAGAATTATAAATATATAATATATAATTACAAAATGCATATATAATGTATAATTACAAAAATATATTACAAAATATGATATATACAAATTTTAATACAAAACAAATTATATTATTAATAAAGTATATTACAAAATGTAATAGTATAATATTCTATGTGTAACGTAGAATTAATTATATTGTACAAATATATATTAAAAAACATAATACAAAATTTGATACAAAATATAATTTAAAATTTAATATAAAATTATTATGTGGTATTACATGAAAATGTGCAAAATATTCGTATAATACAAATTTACTAGAAATTTCTAGACCAGACAAAGCTGATTAGCGACGATTAATTACGCAATATTTATTATTAATAATTGATTACAATTACTGAACTTATTAAGTTTAATATAAGGTAAACAATCACGACTAAAAAAGAATCATTAATAAAATTATCAATCTCTTCATTGTAAAAGATAATATTTGCATTACTGGCGCATTTTGTGCAGACTTTCAAAGAAAATATTTAAGACACAAAAAGATCGACAAAACTTCGATGTAAATCAACGATTAAATTGTAAGATAAATCGCGCTTTAAAATTCGCGAGCGAATGCGATGAATAAATAGATACGATAATCATAACATTCAATTGTGATACGCGTAATTTCTATAATAATGAAAGCACAAAACACACACGCGCGCGATATAATTACTATCACTTTATTTA